GCTCAAACGCGAGCACATACACTCACACACACACACACACACACACACACACACACACACACGTGTGCGAGCGCGCAGATAGATAGATTGATATATAGATAGACAGATAGATAGATATAGATGCAGATACATGATATGTATAGATAGAAGTATAAATACAGATGAATAGATATAGATACAAACATATAGAGAAAATAGATGAAGACACAGAAGAAGGAGATAGAGATAGACAGAGGAGACGGAAAGCGTGAAAGTGTATTTTGAGAGGCAATGAAACAAAAGACGAGAAGAAAGCACAGAAAACAACAAAGAGAAATACGTACAGAACAGGGAGAATGGCGGAAAAGATAGATAGAGAGATAGAGAGGAGAGACCACTGCCGATAAATTGAATGCAAAAGGCAATAAAGCCACATACAGAACATCGATGTTGGAAACTTGGCACCGCGGCACTGGTGTTGCGGAATGCTATGACGTCACGAGAGTCACACATCAATAACTCCCTCCATGGCGTTCATGGACGCGTTCGCACAGTGAAATCCGGGTGAATCCTAACATCCTCCACGAACGCGCTGGTGGATTATATGCGTACGTCATTCCCAGACGAGATGGATAACAATGAAAAATATCCGATGAAAAAAATAAACGCATCGAATTAACGTTATGCGTAGCTTCTAAACGCGCAGTTATAAGCAGAAGAGCGAAGAAAACAGCTGGGTTACGGCGTCGTAGCGTCACCCAGCCGTCAACCCTCGCTTTCACTTCGACGAACTTCGCTTTCGGCTCATTTCTTGGCTTCGGAGTGTCCCGTACCTACGCAGGTCCGGCCCAATTGCGTACTAAATGCAGGTGCATGATGAGAGGGCTACATTCCATGCCAAGATCATTGAACTAGCCTCGGTCTTTTTCTTAAATCCGGATCTTAATAAAGCCATTTTACCTTTGCTGTTCTTCTCTCTCTTTTCTCTTTCTTTGTCTTTGTTCGTTTGTTTGTCTGTTTTTTCTTTTTTTGTTCCATCCTCTCCCTTACCCTTCCCGTTCTCTTTTTCCCTCTTTCTCTCCCTTTGTCTAGCTTCCCTCCATCTATTTCCCTCATCCATTTTCCTTTTTTATACATATCCCGTCCCATTGTGTAGCGTTTTTGCCTCTCCTGTGTCCTGTTTGTGTGTCAAGGAGGCTGTGGCACCGCCGGCTACAGAGGCATGGCATTCCCAGTGACCAGGAGTGCCACGGGCGCGTGTGTTACTGTTTTTTTTTTTCCTTTACGTTTTCTCACTTAAATTAGGCACCCAGCTGATGTTGTTCTGTCTTTATTATGTCCTCTTACTAATTACAAGGAATATCCCTCTTCATTAGTATCTTTATTATAGCTATGACTCTCATCATTATTATTATTATTCATATCAGTACAAGAACAATGACAGTAAATAAATCCCCCTCGGATATAACGCCCCCAACTTATAACAAAATAGGAAAAAAAGTTAACATTGTAACCAGCCACACATCCATGCCTCGCCTCTCCCTGGTCAATCCTTACCGGGTATGAGTGTGTTTCCTAGACCTAAGACACCGTATTCTTTTTTTTTTCCAAAAGATACCTTGCAGCCTTGCAAAAGTCTTCCTACAGTTGATCTCCGAAATGTAATGACGTGTACGCCTGGGATAATGAACATTTGTGAGTGTACAGTGGGGGGGTTATAAAGAAGTGTGACTATACAGAGTATGAAATTCTAAAATCGTTTCAGGCAGGTTAAAGGAAATTCTCGTAGCCAAAGGTTGCTGCCCCTCAACTGCCTGCCATACCCTTCCCTTCCTTTCCCTTCCCTCCACTCCTCCCAACCTTCCATACCCCCCCCCCCCCCGGACCTCGCCAACGGACGCGTCTGTCTGCCAGAACCTGAATTCACGGGGAACATCTCCCGGGCCGAACGAATTTTTCTTTGTTTTTCATTATTCTTCGTATGTTTTATTGTATTTACCGTACTTATTCTGGTAAAGTTAAGTTGTTGCTATTTGCAGACAAGAAGGAACAAGCACTACTCATCCATTCCAAAGTGTACTTAGAAAGACGTAAAATTAAGAATGAAATTCGTATGCATTTCCTATCCTGCAAAACGCGTCGGGTATGAACAAACAACTGTCCTGGGGGTAACATCCGTATGCACTAGTGTTGGCGAACATAGCTTATGTCTGTCTTTTGAGTATATATAGAGCTTTAATATATTATTGTTTTCGAAAAAAGAAGCCAGTTAAACAATAGAAAATGCATTTAATAATGTATGCTACCAAACACTTTTGTGCTTGTGTGTTTCCATATATGGGCTACATGCTTCATATTCGTTATTGATCCATAAATAAGATTAACTTAACCTACTACCAGACGAAAAACACTCCTTTTTTTTATAACACAGAACGTCTCCTCGACCCACATAGTGTTCAGCAGCTTCCACAATCTCGGTCGTCGCAAAACCCTGCTCGAGAAAATGCGGGAGGCAAGAATGCTTGGGAGAATCACGAGAGCAATTCCCGCTTTTTAGTCTTTCCTTCGTTCTCCGTCCGGCCGTCTGTCTGGCTGTTTTTGGCGTCTACTGTCTGTTTTCTTGGCCATTCTTGTCTTTGGTTCCTCCTCTTCCACTGTCTTTGTCTGCCTTCCCCCCCCCCCTCTCTCTCTCTCTCTTTGTCTGCTTCCCCCATCCCTTCCTCCTCCTCCTTCTCTCTCCTTCTCTCTCTCTCTCTCTCTCTCTCTCTCTCTCTCTCTCTCTCTCTCTCTCTCTCTCTCTCTCTCTCTCTCTCTCTCTCTCTTATTTGAAAAATGAGCTGTTCTTGCGCAGTGCAGTACCAGGAACACGCTTGCAACATTAATGCATTGCAGTGCGCGTCAGCCATCTGTTTTCGATATACCTGTTGAGGACTGCCATTTGTCACGAATAACTGGCGATTTTAGGCGAGAGTCCGAATAAAATACGTTTTCTGTTCATCACTGTACTACTTCTGTTCTTCCTTTCTTCCTTAAATTACCTGAATCTGCCAACGGTATCAACCCTGTGTTTTCTTTTCATAAATGTTAACACTTGACGCTGAAACACCCATATCAACGGCAAGAAAGGAAGGTGCATGGTTTCGCAATGGTTGGGTCTTTCAGTTTTTCCCTTTCTCCCTTTCCTTTCTTTTTTCCCTCAGGCTCCCTTTTTTCGTTTTTTTTTATTTCTTCGTCTTTCCCAGTCCTCCCTAGTCCCCCTCTTCTTTCCCTTTCTCTCTGTTTTCTCCTTTACCTCTCTCCCCTTCTAGCCCATTCTCCTCCCTCCTTCCCAACCGAAGAGGGTCGTGGGGAACGGTGGATGGTTAGGGGGGGGAGTCCGTTTTGGATTTGGGCGTCTCTCTCTTTCTTTTTCTCTCTCTCTCTCTCTCGCTCTCTCTCTCTCTCTCTCTCTCTCTCTCTCTCTCTCTCTCTCTCTCTCTCTCACCCTCTCTCTCTCTCTCTCTCTATCTCTCTCTCTCTCTCTCTCTCTCTCTCTCTCTCCCTCTTTCTTTGTTTCCAACCGCGTCATTGGCGTATTGCGTCGGAGCTCATCGAAGGAAGTACATCTATTTTAACATTATGCCGCTCCTTCCTTCTCTTGAAAACAGAACACTGCAATGTATTTTGTGTTTTTTTTCCGTTTTAAATGATCTATTAACAGTAACCAGATAGAATGATAGAATCTCCATCTGTCCTTTTAATTCTAACTATAAACTAAATAGAAATTCAGAGTGATTTAGATCATTTTAAACCAAAGACATTTTCCAGTTTATACTCCAATGTTTTTTTCATCGGTGTTTTTTAATTCTTCTTTTTGAAATGCATGTGATGTGTAACCATGATATTGCTGATGAAACGAACAAAGAGAAAGGTGCTGAGGAGGAATTGGTTTGGAAAATAATTTGTAAAAATATATATATATCCCCAAGACTGATGGTCTTCGTAACAACAGCGTCAATAACAAAGGCAGATGCAGTGGAAGCTTTTGGAAATGTATAATGGTAACAGTAATAATAAGGGTGATGATGACGATAATGGTGATGATGAACTACAATAAAAACAATGACATTAATAATATTAACAATAATGATGATGATGAAGATTAATAATGATGATGATGATGATGATGATAATGATGATGATGATGATGATGATGATGATGATGATGATGATGATGATGATGATGATGATGATGATGATGATGATGATGATGATGATAATGATGATGATGATGATGATGATGATGATGATGATGATGATGATAATGATGATGATGATGATAATGATGATGATAATAAATAATAATGATAACAGCAATAATAATAAAGACAATAATGATAATAACTAATAATGATAACAACAATAATAATATAGGCAATAATAATAGCAACAACAACAATAATAGTAACTTTTCTTTGTTGTTGATGGCGATATTCATGATAGGCGAATAAAAATAGGAATAGCAGCAAAGTCAAGAACATTAAACAGAAAATTAAAACACGGTAAATCATAGTCACTAAACATAAAGTGCATTATTACTTAAAATGAAAGAATAAAAGTTGCCAGTATACTCTTCGTATACGATTCTTGGTTTTCTCTTCATTTTATTCATTTATAAAGTAACTGGGTCTGAAGGTAAAAAGGCATAGATGTTTTGAGAAATGAAAAAAGGGACACGATATATGACGCAACATACAGGGAAAGCCTATGGGTGTTCTCAAGCCTTCTCGAAAACATGGCTTCTCGTGCAATCAGAATACGTTTTATCTGTCAGTCTCTTAATCCCTTTATTGTTTTCGAATCGTGTGATATATCTATGGATTCCTCATTTTATGTAGATCATTTGGGTGTGTATTGTAATGGATAAACTCCTTCGTTGGATTAGTTAATTTCCGAAAACATGTTATCGCGATTATCGTACAAAGGCAGCGGGTCCAGTGCGCATGCGCGGACGAGGTCACGTGACCAAAGAGTATATAATACCCGTCGTCGAAAAGTTGTAGTTAGTTCCCAGCGAGTGATATTGTGATCAAGTATAATTGCGCTTCAAGTACCGGTAAATATTACAGATTTCTTTATTATCTCCTCGTACTTTTTAAACATAGCATTTCGTGTCGCATGTCAAAGGAGGTGTCCTATCTCGCCACCGAGCTGCTAGAGTAACCGAAAGATCAGCCCCTGAAGGGATTTTGAGGGAGGCGCTCGCGGTGGCGTCGCGACTTCCTGCTCTGACGTGGCGTCCGGACCGAAGGGACAAAGGGAGATCGCCAGGGCAGCTCCAGGGCCGGCCGTGCGGTCCAGCTCTTGCCCTTAGCTTGTGTTGTTTCGTGCTTTGTGTTTTAAGTGTGTGCTGGGGTGCTGTGAAGTGTTTAGTGATCATGGGTTGTGTTTCTCTCGTTTTTTTTTTTACGTAAATTTTGTTTTCACATGTACGAATATTATTATTATTTTTTTTTTTATAAATGTAGTAGGTGCTTTTGTGACTTGCACGGTTGCAAGGTTTGCGGTTGAAATTGATCACATTTATAGTAAGGTTAGATTTTGCCATTTGATCAAGAAGGTGACTATTACTCCGATGTAGAGCCTTCTTTGTGGTTATTAAACTACAATTTATTCCTGCACTCTTTTTAGTTTAAAAGCAGTATCTTGATGCTTACAGCCTATTCAGAACTATTAGTGATACGAAATGACTTTGTCAGGGTGATAGATAACTGGAAGGGTATGGAGACAGAGCTAGGGTTTGCCAGAGCTTGAGGGTTAAGGTAAGGGTTGTTAGCTTCAGTTGGATTTTAGAATGTAGAAAGGTGTTGTATGGTGTGGAGTGGTGGTGTTAAATGTGTACATATAGTTTTATGAAAGTGGCGTATCTATGAAGAAAATGTGTAGGAACTGTGGCAAATGCATTATTGTGAATTGTTCATTCCTTTTTCTTGAATCTTTATTTTACCTAGATTTGGTCAATTTTTTGAACTTGTATTCATGAGTGAATGACTTCTAAAGTATATTACTCATATTTTAGTACATCTGTTTCTTGAAAAACAGTATTAAGTGTTAACATCAGAATTCTAATGTCTAAATTTCTCTTGCAGCATCGAGATGCAGATCTTTGTGAAGACTCTCACAGGCAAGACCATCACACTCGAGGTCGAGCCCTCAGATACCATTGAAAATGTGAAGGCCAAGATCCAGGACAAGGAGGGTATCCCCCCAGATCAGCAGAGGTTGATCTTCGCAGGCAAGCAGCTTGAGGACGGACGCACTCTGTCCGACTACAACATCCAGAAGGAGTCTACTCTCCACTTGGTCCTCAGACTCAGGGGTGGTATGCAGATCTTCGTCAAGACCCTCACAGGCAAGACCATCACCCTGGAGGTCGAGCCCTCAGACACCATTGAGAATGTGAAGGCCAAAATCCAGGACAAGGAAGGCATTCCCCCAGACCAACAGCGCCTCATCTTCGCTGGCAAGCAGTTGGAGGATGGTCGCACTCTCTCAGACTACAACATTCAGAAGGAGTCCACACTCCACCTTGTCCTCAGACTTCGTGGTGGTATGCAGATCTTCGTCAAAACCCTAACAGGCAAGACCATCACATTGGAGGTTGAACCCTCTGACACAATTGAAAATGTGAAGGCCAAGATCCAAGACAAGGAAGGCATTCCCCCAGACCAACAGCGTCTCATTTTCGCTGGCAAGCAGCTGGAAGATGGTCGCACCCTGTCAGACTACAACATTCAGAAAGAGTCTACCCTCCACTTGGTTTTGAGACTGCGAGGTGGTATGCAGATCTTCGTGAAGACCCTCACTGGCAAGACCATCACCCTGGAGGTTGAGCCCTCTGACACCATTGAAAATGTAAAGGCCAAGATCCAGGACAAGGAAGGCATTCCCCCAGACCAACAGCGTCTTATTTTCGCTGGCAAGCAGCTGGAAGATGGTCGCACTCTCTCTGACTACAACATCCAGAAGGAATCTACCCTCCACTTGGTCCTCAGACTTCGTGGTGGTATGCAGATTTTCGTGAAGACCCTTACTGGAAAGACCATCACTTTAGAAGTTGAACCTTCAGATACAATTGAGAATGTAAAAGCCAAAATCCAGGACAAGGAAGGTATTCCCCCAGACCAGCAGCGTCTTATTTTCGCTGGTAAACAACTAGAAGATGGCCGAACCCTGTCAGATTACAACATCCAGAAGGAATCTACCCTCCACTTGGTCCTCAGACTTCGTGGTGGTATGCAGATTTTCGTGAAGACCCTTACTGGCAAGACCATCACCCTGGAGGTTGAGCCCTCTGACACCATTGAGAATGTAAAGGCCAAGATCCAGGACAAGGAAGGTATTCCCCCAGACCAACAGCGTCTTATTTTCGCTGGTAAGCAGCTTGAGGATGGTCGTACCCTTTCTGACTACAACATCCAGAAGGAATCTACCCTCCACTTGGTTTTGAGACTGCGAGGTGGTATGCAGATCTTCGTGAAGACCCTCACTGGCAAGACCATCACTCTGGAAGTTGAACCCTCTGACACCATTGAGAATGTAAAGGCAAAGATCCAGGACAAGGAAGGTATTCCTCCAGACCAGCAGCGTCTCATCTTTGCAGGCAAGCAGTTGGAAGATGGCAGAACCTTGTCAGATTACAACATCCAGAAGGAGTCCACTCTCCACTTGGTCCTCAGACTTCGTGGTGGTATGCAGATCTTCGTGAAGACCCTCACTGGCAAGACCATCACCCTGGAAGTTGAGCCCTCAGACACAATTGAAAATGTAAAGGCCAAGATCCAGGACAAGGAAGGCATTCCCCCAGACCAACAGCGTCTTATTTTCGCTGGCAAGCAGCTGGAAGATGGCCGTACCCTTTCTGACTACAACATCCAGAAAGAATCCACTCTCCACCTTGTCCTCAGACTGCGAGGTGGTATGCAGATCTTCGTGAAGACCCTCACTGGAAAGACCATCACCCTGGAAGTTGAGCCCTCAGACACAATTGAAAATGTAAAAGCCAAGATCCAGGACAAGGAAGGTATTCCTCCAGACCAACAGCGTCTCATCTTTGCAGGCAAGCAGTTGGAAGATGGTCGCACTCTCTCTGACTACAACATCCAGAAGGAATCTACCCTTCACTTGGTACTCAGACTGCGAGGTGGTATGCAGATCTTCGTGAAGACTCTCACTGGAAAGACCATCACTCTGGAAGTTGAACCTTCTGACACCATTGAGAATGTAAAGGCCAAGATCCAGGACAAGGAAGGCATTCCCCCAGACCAACAGCGTCTCATTTTTGCCGGCAAACAGTTGGAGGATGGTCGCACCCTGTCAGACTACAACATTCAAAAGGAATCTACCCTTCACTTGGTACTCCGACTTCGTGGTGGTATGCAGATCTTCGTCAAAACCCTCACTGGCAAGACCATCACCCTGGAAGTTGAGCCCTCAGATACTATTGAGAACGTAAAGGCCAAGATCCAGGATAAGGAAGGTATTCCCCCAGACCAGCAGAGGTTGATCTTTGCAGGCAAGCAGCTTGAGGACGGACGTACTCTCTCTGACTACAACATTCAGAAGGAATCTACTCTCCACTTGGTCCTCAGACTCAGGGGTGGCCAGTGAATATTCCATTGTGATCAGTTTCCAAAGATTTCCTGTCAACTACGCTTATTGCAAAATATGTAATTGCACATTATTCCTTTCCAGTGTATGTGGAAATTATATGAACATGATTTTATTTCAAATGCACATCAATATTATTTTTTACTTTTTATAATGTGCTAGCAGAACCAAATAAAAACTTTATTTGATA